TGTTCACCATCCATGAGAAAAAGGATTTTATTGAAATTTTAGTTTAAAAATAAGCTATCATCACAGCATTACATCACAGAGTAGATTTTATTGAAGTATTTCCTTGTAGAAGCAGTTATCAATGAAAATGCCTTGCTTTCCTGTTGCAATACTCACGAAATTTTCACTAAAGAAAAACAAATAATTTTTTATATTTGAAACTTGCTCCTTTTTTTGTAAATTTTATTGTTTAAATCTGAAATTTACTCCTTTTTGTTTGTAATTTTTATTGGTTAAATCTGAAACATATCATTTTTGTGGAAATTTCAATTGTTTTATTTATTGCTCAGATATAAAAGTACTGCCTAGTTATAAAAATATTACCCAGTTATGATTGGTGCAGTAGTTTCCGAGATCAGAGTTTTGAACGTATACATCACAAGCTCCATTATAATAAGATATGAAAGAAAAATTAAGTCTGTAGTATAAAGGAAAACATTGACAAGCTTGCAAGCAGAAACAAGCACATCTATACAGTACTACCGCAACAGTGCATAACTATGGTCATTAGAACAAGCATAGCTGATGATGGAGGGAATAGCACAAACAAAAATTATTTACAGCCAATGAATGATGACCAAGTGCAATGTATGTAATCTTCAAGTCCACAACAGACACAAGATTATATAACTGCAAAGGACTACTATATAAAATATGACAAAACCTTTTCTAAACTCGGTAGTGTTTTATCACATTTAACAGGCTTAAATGTTGAAAAAAAACAAGATTTACCCCTAATACCTTTTGAATACTAGACACTGATAAAGTACATTCTACATGTATATATATCAAAATGAATAAATTACAAAAATGAGAGCAGGAGGCCTAACCCTGTCACCCAAGTAATTTCTGGAAACTACTAAAAATGAATATCACAAAACAAAACAATTTACATTAAATAATAAATAACCCATTTTAGTGAGCTTTGACACTCTATAACAAAAACAACATAATAATAAACTTACAAATAAAATGTTCCACTCATGAAATAAATATTGATGCTAGAGTGAAGGAGTTAAACAATCTAAATATGAATGATAGTTTATTCTATAATTATCTTACATGCATGATATACTTAATTTCTTATTTTAATAATGTGTCCCTAGATCAAAAACTAAATGCTAATTTCAAATGTACTATATTCACAAAATGACTCAAACCTGGAAATACATATAGAGGACAGAGTATGGGAAATACTGATATCTTTTTTAAAATCCACAAGATTAAAACAATATAAAGATTAGGCTTATAATTTGTCATACCAATTTCTAAAGCACAAGATGAGAACACAACCACACAGTTTTACGAAATTAAGTTGTAGGGGTATTTCATTAATATTTACTGTCTAAATTTCATTCCTTGCATAGATTTAGACAACATATAAAGAAACTGGAATAAGCAGCTTTTTCCAAACAAATAGTGACTGTTAATTTTTCAAAACTGCTAAACAAAAAATCACATAATGACTGATCTTGTCAAACAAATTAGAATCTTTATATCAAGCACCAGTCTTATATTATCAAAACTTAGACTTTTACAATGTTAAAAAATCAGTAGTGTGGTGCACTTAGATCAAACTAAATTAATTTAAGAACAATGGGATAGTTCCACAGAATGCCAGGAGATTTAATCAGAATATTTACCAAAGAATAATACTGAATCTCTGAAAAATCGAGACTGAAAGAGAAAGAGTCTGGACACAAGGTAATGCACAATATGCACACATTTTATCAATTCACAAAAAAAAATAGTGTGTGTGTGTGTGTGTGTGTGTGTGTGTACTTGCTGTTGTCACTGCTTACTCTTCTAAACTGTTAAATCCAACATTCTTTACTTTGCAATAAATTTTGTATTTATCCAGAGTAATTAGTGCTATCCACATGTCTGGTCATTCTCATTGAAGAATAGAGAGGCTATAACAAAGATACCATCTGAACTACCATTAAAGGACACTGCTGTCGACATAATTGCACAACATGCAGCACTATATCAATAATCTCACTGGCATAACAGGTAAACTCCAAGAGAATGACAAAAAAACGAACAAGGGCATCTAGAATGAGATGAGCTTCACAGCTTTCTCAACCTTACTGTGTGAAACTTGCACATATATAGAATAAAGGATAAATTCAGAGTGAATACTATCATAACACAAGATAGAAACACATGATATATTTATGTACCACAGAAAAACTATCTAAAATGTAAAGCAGAAATAAAATCCTATGACTCAACTTGTGTTAATTTAGTGAAGACAAATTTCAGAATAAGTGCTGAAAGTTGTTTGTTGTATACACTGCAAGGTTATGAATATAATACCAGAAAAAAATTCATCATAATAAATATATAAAACCTACTCTCAACTAACATTAGTGACCAATGCAAATACTGTGGGATTTCATGTTGTGATATCAGTTATCAAACTTAAATTGCCAAAATACATGAACAGGAACAAACTTTATATACTGTTATATATATGAATTAAAATACATAAGTAGGAACAAACTTGATATACTGTTATATATATATGAATTAAAATACATAAATAGGAACAAACTTGATATACTGTTATATAAATGAATTAAAATACATAAATAGGAACAAACTTTATATACTGTTATATATATGAATTAAAATACATAAATAGGAACAAACTTGATATACTGTTATATATATGAATTAAAATACATAAATAGGAACAAACTTGATATACTGTTATATATATGAATTAAAATACATAAATAGGAACAAACTTGATATACTGTTATATAAATGATTTAAAACACATAAATAGGAACAAACTTGATATACTGTTATATATATGAATTAAAATACATAAATAGGAACAAACTTGATATACTGTTATATAAATGAATTAAAATACATAAATAGGAACAAACTTGATATACTGTTATATATATGAATTAAAATACATAAATAGGAACAAGCTTGATATACTGTTATATACCTCAAGACCTTGACTATTAACATAATTTTGTTAAACATCCCAATCACCTAGGAGTATCTATTCACTCCCATACACAAAAATGCAGAATCTACTTCATGTGATTATTCATTCCAACTCAATTTTTTTATAAACAAATAATGAAAGTTTTCCAAATCACTGATTATGAGTTAAATTTATGTACTTTAGGTTAATTTTTCATATTTATGCTAAGTGCATGGTTGCCAAAAATTAAATATGAAAACTTTTTTACTTGAGAATCAAGAAGATTTAAATATTTTCTAGAAACTTCACTTCATTATTCTTTCCACATGGGCTTGGTCAAATCAACTGAATTCATAACCATTTTAAACTCATTCAAATTTCCATACTATAACTTTTAATACAGTATATGCATCTTCACAAAATAGGGCAAACTTTCAGTAAACATTACAAAACTTTTGTATACAAAAAATTAAATTCTTTAATTAAATATTTTTAATAAAGATTTGTCTGTGAATATATTGAGTAGTTTTGTTTACTAGTCTGAGTGCAAAATTATTTTCATGTTAAGATTAACGATAATTTAATTCATCTGAAAATTTTTTAATTTCATTTTTGTAATCTCTAAGACCTCCTAAATAATTATAAAACATTATTTTTAGTAAAACTATATTTTATCTACCCTAACTCTAAAAACGAGGTTGGTCCATTTGACTGACCTTGTAATGACCAAAAAAAGGGAAAAAAAATCAAAATAATTCTAAATTACCCTTTTTTTTCTTAGTGTGTTGTTTTCACAAAGCTACACAAGGGGCTATCCGTGCTTTTTTTTTAGTAGAATGACTTCAGATTGTAACATAAGCCTACATTTAGTTACCCTAAATAACTTTAAAGACGTAACAGTATACATCTGTTTATACTTATATTTTACTGTTTTATTGCCCTTTGAACCATCTGTAATTTAATATTTGTAAATCGATTAGTTAACATGGTTACCCTATCAAATTACATAATGCACAGCCTAATTGCAAGCTGCTCATAAGTGTACCTCATGATAACTTATTATCATTATTCTTAATTTTATCCAACCTAAAAAGTTTCTAATTTTTACATTTTAGTCGCTTTTATAAAAATAAATAAAGACTATACATAAAGATCAAGAAATACAGAACTTACCTGGATCTTCTTTTTTCTTTGCTGTCAATTTTCAATGACACTTTTTTTATACTAATGGTACTACTCCATTAAATAATTTTCTATTTAATTAAATAATGCACCAAATACCAGAGAATAATAACATGCAAAAAACAGACTATGTCTCATAACTATCACAATTTTTCTGGCTTTCTAACTATGCAACAAGAGCCATAAAAATTTCAGTTCAGCTTGTCAATTTGTTTCCATTGGGAATAAAGTTTGAACTGGAAGCAAAACAGATAATTTTCTATACAGAAAACAATGTAATATAAGATGTTATTTGATAGATTAAAATCTTGGCTTTCTGTTGGTTATAAATATTATAGTATTAAATGTCAGAGAACTATTGGCAATTTCTGAAAGAGAGGATGTGACAGGTGGGCACGGCAATTAGGGTCTGATTCTCTATTTGATGGCTCTATAACCAAAGAAGATTGAAGGCTATACAAATCTTGCTTTGCCTGAGCAATGATAACATTAATATGAGTGGTTTATGTTAAATTTCATACTTCTTGAGAGGTGGTAAATAAATTAGAGAAGAAGGGATACCTAGAGTGCAAATGTCAAAAGTCTCACACCAGGGGAAATTAAAGATTTCTTTTAATATTGCCTTCTAAAATTAAGAACTTGAAACCTATATAAAGTTAAAACTTGGATTATTAACTATGTTTTTAAGCCAAGTTTATTTACATAACATGATAAAAAAGTAGTTTAATTAAGTTTTGAATGTAACTCACTAAAATCTTCTGACATGCAATGCACACAAAATGATGCCCATTCTGAAAGAGATAACTGAACATTTGTTACACAAACTTACTTGACTCCATACAGTTTGGATCAGGAAATGTTTCTTCATCCAACTTCAGAAGTGTGGGGTTGTAGCATGTATATATATTCTTGATACAGTCAAGTCTTCGCTCAATTTCAAGTCTTAGGTGCTGTAAGAATCATAACTAAAACATTAAGCTCTTCTGGGTTAAAAATAATAACTTACAACGATACTGAGTATTTTGTAGTTTCTCAACCTTAGGATCATCTCAGAGTTGTGTTTTAACAAACCTAACTCTGAGGTATGAATAAAAAACTAAACATCATTAATTAATTCAGAAATAATATTTAGGTTAAATACAACAAGAATTCCACATAAAACAGAGATTTTCAATATGTCTAAGCAAATTAGCTGTAAACAGTGTGACAATAAGTTATCAAAAATGGTAATTGTGTTGTTTTACCCACTATGAAGATAAAGTTTAATTTTTTTCAATTACTAAGCAACAGTTTGTCTTCATGTTTTTTGCGAATCATCTCTACACAGTTGTTTTGTATTAGCATTTACTTCTTTTTAAGTTAAAACACTAATGACAAAACTTCAAACAAACACAAAATGAAAATGGAGAATATTTTCTCAAGTTCATTTATACCTAAAACTAAATGTGTTGTTTAACACCGAGAAAAAAAAAGCAGTAGCTTCAGCACATTAATTTGTCACAGTTTCATGTAAAATTCCAAAAGGAAACCTTATTTTACAGATTAAGAAATCCAAATGTAGTAATTTTAATAACGATTCAGAAAATTAAAAACCTATGAATTTACCTTAGGTGCATCATTTCCAACTGGAACGTGAGGCCCTCTTCTAGATTTCAAGGAAAAACGAACAATTTGTCTTTTTGCAAAAATGAAAAGCAGAACAAAAGTCTGTAAATCAGAATTAAGAATTATAAATATATTTGATTAGCTTGTAAATCATTCATATGAGCAATTACAGGGAAATAATAAGAGTTCATAATCAGGTATATAACCCCACTCATACATGCAACTACTAAAAAGCACACTTTCTGTTAAACCTCACATTCTTTATTTTATAACTTAGATAACTACAGTGCTAATTTTGGGGAATATTAAGAAGGCTTATTCTGCAAACAGAAAGGAATAAATTTTCGTGATGTGTAATAAGTTGAAACCATAAAAAGAACGAATAAACAATTAAAACTGTTCAGTAAACAAATTTATATAAAAATTCTTGAAAATCTTATATTTTTATGATGATCATGAACAACAATATATTGAAACTAACAACTCTTACATAAGATAGCTGAAACAACTCAAAATACATAAATAAAAATATTCAACAGGCTGACTACATAAATTTCAAGTTTGGAACTGGAGAGGTTAGTTTTAGAACTTTACAGATTAGATATGCAGAACTGTAATTATCAGTTATATATAATTTATCAAATTCCCCAATGTATGCAAAAAAAAAAAAAACAACTGTAAAAACACCAAAATACAAATTATAATATACACCAATGCATTACAAAATGAAAGATATTTATACAATTCATAAAATAATCTTTATGTTCAACTATCTTTAATAATCTTGGAAATTTTACGTTGTTCATCATTCCACTTACGTCTGATGCAAACAAAATACATGTATATAAAATACACGTATATCAGGGCTCCAAATAAGCTTTTACCATAATGTGTGTTTTACTTCTACTTCTTAAAATAAACCACAATGTTAAAAAAATGTCAATTTACATATTTTTTAGACATCAGAGACTTTTTTTTGTCCAACACCTCACATTCTGGCACTGTTTTGCTGTGTTTACTAGGCACTTGTTTTTCTTACTTCCATATGAACATCCTATTAAGGACTACTCAAGGTAATACAGGATAAATTGATGCTTTGTTGATGTCAAATAATAACATTAGACTGGTATAATTTTCAGGTAAATGCCATAAGAAAACTTGCAAGCTCAGTAAAAAAACAGAAAGAAATAGTGAATGATGTAGAAGCATAATATTTTATTCAATTCACTATTTCCTCTGCAATAGACTGTAGTTATGCTAAATCATAACTGTTCAGGAGAGCAAACCAAAGAGATATAGTAAGCCTCCTATTAGTGGTGTAATGCTAACAGTTTGTAGGATATGATGCAAACAACTTTACATCAAAGCCTACAAATCACTCTTTCTCTGGGTTTAGTTTGTTTGACCGAGTGCGAGACCACAAGTCTTTGTACTATAACTTTTAATATATATTTTGCATGTTAACAAATTTTGGCAAGCTTTCAGTAAACAATACAGGTCTTTTGTTTACAACAAATCAGAATTTTGAATTAATTATTTTTAATAAAAATCTGTCAGTGAATAATGGAATTCAAAGTGTTGCCTGCTCCAAGTGCAAGATGATTTTCATGTTAAGATTAAAAACACTTTTCTTTATCTAAAAATGTTGAAGTTTCATTTGCATAATTTCTAAAACCTCCTTTATATTTTATGCTATTTTCTCTATCCTAACTCTATACCCATTCAGTCAACTTGATAGACTTGGTAACTACCATAAAAAATATGAAATAAATCAAATTACTCTTTTCTTCTTTCTAGAAATAAATTGTAACATGAAACTAAAACTGTTTATCCTAAATAGCTTAAAGTTCATGGCAGTATACATCTGTTATGCATTTTATTGTTTTATTGCCCTTTGAACTGCATATAACAAAGAATTCTGCCACTCTCTTGGCGAACATGCAGCTCACACTACCATATCAAATTACATAATGCATGAGCTGCTCGAGCTTCTCATACGCATACCTCATGAAGAATATTTTTTTCCTTATCGGACCTAATAGGTTTCTAATCTTTACATTTTAGTTACTTTTACAATAATAAAAAATACATTTAAAAAACAAGAAATATAGTACTTACATGGGTTCTTGTTTTGTTGGCTGTCAACTGTTAGGGAAACTTAAGCCTACTTTTTGTATACTAATGGTATTACTACACCAAATAATTTTTATTTAATTATCAAATAATGCACCTAAAAACACAGCATAATAACATGGAGCAAACAATGTCCTATAACTATTGTAATTTTTCTGCCTTTCTAACTATGTGACAAGAGCTTTAAACAATTCAGCTAAGCTTGTTGATGTGAATAATGTGAGCAAAAATTTCAAACTGCAGGTAAAACAGACAATTCTCTGTGGAGAAAACAATGTAACATATGTCATTTGATAACTTAAGAATTTTGATTTCTGCTGGTTATGAATATTACAGTACAAAATTTCAGAGAGAACAATTGGCAATTTGTGAAATAGAGGATGTGACTGGTGGGAGTGACAAAAAGGTCCAATTTTCTAGTTTATGGCTCCATAAACATACAAGATTGAAGGCTATAAAAATTATGCTTAGCCTGAGTGATATCTATATTATACTGTGTAATTTATATTGAAATTCATACTTCTCAGAGAGTTGGAAAATAAATTAGAGAAGAGGGAAGACCTAGAAGTGAATATCAAAATTCTCATACTAGGGGAAATTCAGGATTTTTAAAAATATTTCCTTATAAAATTAAGAATTTAAAACTTATATAATATTACAATTTGATTTATTAACTATGTTTAGTTGCCAAGTTTATATGTAAATTATAATAATAAAGTAGTGTAATTGAATTTTGATGTAACTCTAAAAAGTAATGACTGGTGCACTTTGACCTTCCCATAGCAAAATGAATAACCTGTCAATCAGTTTAGAGAGAATAATCACACATACCTTGCATTTGTTTTGTTACCTATACAGATTACTGCTCCTTTTGAACAGGCAAATAGTATGTACAATTTTTTATTTCAAATGCCAAAAAGCAAATTATGAAAACCTATATAATAAATCCAACATACCAAAACTCCAAAAGCAATAAAAATGATGACAGCAATGCCAGAGAGCTGATCGGCCATCTCCTGTAAGGTACATTGTACATGGAAGAAATGTAAGAGCTTGCAGGGATGGCTATGTTCATCTTAGTTGACTTGCAATACAGGATATCTGGTACATGATATCACCAATGAGTGGAAGTTCTGAATACAAATAATAAAAAAGAAGTCTAAAGTGAAAAACTTCAACAATACAACTCTTGTTGGAAGGAAAAATAAAGTTAGAGGTAGAAGCCTACATGAAAATAATAGCAGTCTGAATTTCTTAACCTTTTTTTCATACATTGTGTTTAAACAAAAACAAATACAGTCAAAATGAATGAAGACCATCAATTACATCCACTCCGTTTTTAAAAACAAATATTACTAGCTAAACACATATTACTTGAAAATGAGTTATTTACATTCTTTAGATGTCATGTAGAAAAAAATCTTAGATAACTACATAGCTCTTTATAAACTAAACAAATAGGTCATATAAATACACTACAGTTATAAATTTGTATATTATAAAAATAATTTGTTTCTTCATTTAATTGTTTTTCTAACAAGAATTATTTAAATATCTAAACTCTTAAGTCACTTATACTTTACAACCAATAACAGATTTGAAAAGTTAACTTCAAAATAACATAACTATAGATTACAAATGTTAACATATAAAAACTTACAGTTTGAGCCCAATCACTTTGCAGACATTAAAACCTTTTTAGTTAAGATTTTATCATTCAAGCTTAAAAAGAAAAATGATATTTTGGCAGCTTTTTCAAAGACTATCTGAACATTTCCTATTTGGTGACTCACTAATGTTGAGATGATCACGAGATCTTTTTCGTCTGTTTTTAAAAATGAAGTAATTCCCCACTGACCTTGTATTCTTCAAAAAAATATTTTAAAATAATAAAAATGTTTTAATATCACTTACAAGGGTTATAATGTTTTTAATTAAAACATATCATGATTGTAATTAGAAATAATTAAGTAGTCACTTAGTCAATTTATACACATACATTGTTTAAACATGATAAACATAAAACAGTCAATAAATAAGAGTTTGAGTCATTGTAATATTTTGCCATTTACTATTAACTAAGCCTTATTAATGACCAAACAAAAGTAAAATGGGCAACAACTGCCTAGTTGAATGACACTTGTAGAGAAAGTCTTGAAGGACTAATCTACACAAGTATTCAGGTAAAAAGGATGATATTTTGAAAGACCTGCATCTTTCAAAGTATTGTTGTTTCTACCTAAGCTTTTTTTTTATATATTAGTCCTCCAAGACTTTCTTGGTAAGTATCACTCTCAACTACAGAGTTGACTGCTACCTGCAGCTCTGCCCATTCAGCTTTGTTCGTGAATATTTTCCAAGCCATCTATAAAAGTAAACCTTACTAAGCTTATCTGATGTCTTCTCCTTGAAGAAAATATCTGTATCCTTCAAACAGATATATAATTTAACATAAGCATTTATGCCATTGAAAAGAATACTTAAAGAAACTACAAAAAAAATTCCCAAACTGTTTTTTTGTTCCTAAGTCTTCCAAACTTTCACAATGAATGCCTTTGGTCAATGCTATAGGAGTGCCAACTAGAAATTTTCTCATGAAACCATAAAGCCACTACTCAAACTTCTTTGTTTACTTTACTATGACATGAAAAAGTGGTCTTTTCAATATAAAACCTTTAAATTCTATCTTACAGTGCTTAGATTTTGCCATTAAAATAATAAATGTTAAGCATTAGGTTGTGGAAAGTTTAGTTTCACAATAAAAACAATTTCAGTAGGTTCAATGTCCATCAGATGATGAAAATACAGAACAATTCTTGTAGAATAAAAACACATATGGATTAAATGAGACTATATCAAAATACGAGTAATACAATAAAATTCAATCCCAATAATAGGTGGAGTAGGCCTAAACCAAGATAAACGGCATTATATGTGTGTGTATGTGTATTTGTAAAGAAATTAAGAAGGGTGACTCATAAACATCAAATCATTATGTCTTTTATGAACCTGAATGTACTATTACTTAAGCTCTAATACAGACATAGTGATATTGTATAGCATATTAAAATTGTTATAAGCTATATTTTCAATGCTTAGGTTTAAATGTTTCTTTGCTAGAGGGAGCAGATAATAATGATGATACTAGACCTAATGAGTTCAATAAAAGTAGCTCCTAGAATACCTAGAAAGTTCAAGAAGTAATTACCTAGAAATTCTGTAGAACAAATATGAGTAATCTGCATGAAGAATGAATGAGTAATCAATAAATTTTTCGGTTAAGTGTTATACAGTGAGAATTATTGCATCTATTTAGTCACTCAATTTATTAGCAAGTAATTCTGTAAGTGTTTTATTTATCATTTAGGTATAGGTAATATTAGTACTTTCATTTCTGTTCAAAGTGAAAATGTTTTTGAACTCAGACTTACAATTACAAGAGAAAGTATACTGCAGCAAACTTTAAGAAACAGTTTCTATTATGTGGACTAGATGATTCATTATTTTTACCAGATAACCCAAAAGAACCCTTCCAATGAAAAAATGTTACAATTAGTGTTAGAAATGGGACATTTTGTAGAAAAGAAAATATAACTTGGTCTAAAGTTGAACATCAACTGTTTAAGATGACTACAACATGGGCAAGAAGGAGAATTGAAATCTTGCTAAAAATAATGAAACAGTTAAAAGAGGTGAGGAAGAAAGTGACAGAAAATTAAAAGATCAAGGGGTAAGAGATGGAAATTTAAGAGCAAATAAAAAAAGGACTTATAGCCTGAAGAAAAAAGAACAAATATATATTAGATGGAAGTGAGATTTATAAAGCTACTGGGTATGCCCAGATGGATTACAACAAGTTTTAAAAAGTGGAGAAAGACATCAACAAAGTACAGAGAAGCTATAATGAAAAAATTGAAGAAGTACAGAAAGAGATAGTTGAGGCAGAATAGAATGTCAGTGACAAAATAAAACATCTACAAAATAAATTGGTAAATACAACGATTATACCAGCAACTCCTCTTTCTGCACTTTCTGAAAAATTCCAAGCAAAACATCATCTACTACGAAATATGGAATAGGACAACTTATATGGTCTATAGATATTACCACTACTGCTATGCCATCTGTTTATTTCAGAATCTTTCTGAATTACTCCAGCCATGTCATCAACAAATTCAACAACATTGCTCAATTGAGAAATCAAAGTACTATGATGGAAAGGTATCATGGGAAGCTTATTGTGCTCAGCTCAAAATAATTTCTAAAGTGAACAGGTGAAATAGTGAACAACAAGCTGTTAATCTTGCTGCCCATTTAAACATCTGTCAATAGCAATAACCTGAATAGTGGCCAGTTGCCATAAGATTGGAATTTTGCTAATGTTTCTCATTTTGTCAAGAGAGGTAATTACAGGCCTACTAACCTAACATCAGTTAAAACAAAGTTTTTGAAAGTCTGATAACAGATGCTTTACAAAATCATTTAACAAAGTTAAACATTTTATGGGATAGTCAACATTGTTTCATTATGGGAAAATCTTGCCTTACTAATCTTTCAACATACTTCAAAGAATGTTTATGTACTTGAGGGTATAGGTGTAGATTTGATGTATCTGGATTTTCAGAAAGCAATTAACAAGACACCACATAAAAGGCTTGTTAAAAAAAGTTATCTGTATGGGTTTGGGGACAGGTTGGCTAACTGGATAGAAAAGTGGCTAAACTAAAGGAAGCAGAGGGTTGTTATAAATGGAGTTTAGTCAAACTGATTTAATGTCACAAGTAGGGTACATAAGGCTCAATGTTAGAACCTTTGTTCTTTTTTTTATTTACATTAATGACAGAAAGAAGGAATGGTCAATAATGCTGATGATGTTATGGTTTTGATTATTGCCGACTGTGAAGAAGATGCTGTTGCTTTACTAAAGGATTTGGATTATTTGGTGAGTTGGCTGAAAAAATGGTGAATACTTTTTAATTATAATAAATGCGAGGTACTTTAAGTGGGGTATCATAATTTAAATTATAAGTGTAATTTTGATGTGAATAACTTTAACAATGTTATAGAAGAAAAGGATCATTCTCTTAAGCCATCCATGCAGTGTTCTGTTGCTAGGATCAGGGTAAATTGAATTGTAGATTACATTTACATAAATACTGAAGACAAGTTTTAAAAGGTTATAATTTCATTATATAGGTCACTGGTTAGGCCATATTTAGGGTATTATGTTCAGTCTTGGGCTTCTTACCTAAAAAAAGAACACTGAATTTTTTGGAAAGAGATCAGATGGGGGATTATTAAGACAATACTTTGGATGGAAAGGTGGTCATATGAGGATAAAGATCTCTCAAAGATTCTCTTGTGAAAAGAAGAGTTAGAGGGGATCTAACTGTGGTGTTTAAGATTTTTTAAGGGAATTGAGACTGTTACTGCATCATCTTTTTTGTACTTAATGATGATAATGGTAAGACTAGGAAACAACAATACAGATCTTGCTGGGGTAGGAGTCATCTTCAACTAAGACAGTCTTATTTTTCTAAAAGGGTAGTTAATCTTTGGAATGAGTTGCTTTCATATGTGATGACAGTACATTTAAGAGGTTTTACATGAAAGCTTGATGAATATTTGAATGATACAGATTAGCTATGAGCACTTTATTTTTAATTTAAAGTTTAATTTAGTGGGTGGAATGGCTTTCCATTATATGCTATATAAGTACCTGCCATATCGAACAAATTTGGAGTAACACACCAGAAAGAAGTATCAAGAACAAAGTTCAGAAATAGAGAATGGAGGAAAGAAGAGACCTTGGCCTAATATGCAAAAGATCCAGAAAGGCTTGCCCAATTATCTTACATTATGCTCCACTTTGGTATAGATTTTTTGGTAATTGACCAATTTATAGATGCTATAACAGATAAGAACATGAGTATTAGGTTAAAGCAAAGTGAATGTACATCTTTAAGGAAGATCTGCAGTAGATGATTGAACTTAAATCCATTAAAGTCTCAGATTAACAACTAAAGGTTACCATCTACAAGTTATGGGATCAGATTGAGTAAGTTGTAACACCAACTCCCTTTGATGATAGTTCAGAAGAAACTGAAAGAATTATTAAGACAACTAGTTACAATGAAAGGAGGAAATAAACCACAATATAATAGAGTAACTTGAAAGGACATATGGCCAAGAACTGCAGAAAAAATAGCAACTGGGGAATAATAACTCCTCCCAAAGGGTGTCAGTAAAAGTGAAACTTTACAACTGTGGGAAATAAGGCCATTACATCTAAGCTAGTAAGGAATCAATAGCTGTTATTAACCCAAGAAGAGAATGCCCTAAAGATATGTCTCCAAGCCCATAAAGATGAAAAAAACAACAAAGAGCTAACTAGACATAAAAAATGGGATGAAATTCAGTACAAAATACTCCAACTACTTCAAATAAGATAAAAAGTTAATTATTTGAGGAAACTTTTCCATAATGAAAAACCTTGCAGAGTGTTGATCAACACTAGTTCAACCCAATTTTTGAATTGAAAGGTGAAGAATTGCCTCCAGAGATAAAGAAAGATGAGGAGCTGATGCAATCTACAGGTGAATATAAAATTTCACTAAAAGAGAAGTTGTAAGTTACCCTCACTGTACAAAGCTTCTCTATACCTCATAATTTGTGGGAAATTGACAATGACGAAGAGTGCATATTGGGATTTGACTTTATGCAGAGACATGGATGCTAAGTTATGCTAACTTCATAGCTTCACAATTTATGACCATGAAACTTCTATGTATTACATGGCAATTACTACACCAGAAGCTGAATTTCTAGTGACAACAGGGAAGGTAGTCGTTCAACCACCAAGGAGTTGTTAGCAATAACTCTCCATCTAGTGACAGGGGCATAGTGGAACCAAAAAACTCTGGCATGTCCTGAGGGAATAATGACTGGAAAAATTCTCGTAGATCTGAAAAATAAATGTGTCATACATGACTTTACCCGGGAAAGATTGAAAATTAACTTGTGATAAAATGGAAAAGTTACTATGATGTTAATACAAACAAGGCCAGATTTCATTAAGGTGACTTGGTATGACTGAACAATTCCTGTTGCAAGGAAGGACAAACTCCAAGGTTAAGTAGGTGTTGGGAAGGAACATATGTTGTAATGTAAAAAATCAAAGATGTGGTTTACTGATTCCAGAAAGCATGGTGGTCCAAGCCAAAGGTCATTGAATTGATAGTATTTAGAAGTATGTCAGTGAGAAAACAATCAACTGTTAACACCAGAAAAAAAAAAAAAAAGAGTTTACAAAGCAGAAAGTAAACTTCCTGTCAAGACCACTTCCTGAGGATCACTGTCAGTGGATTCACTCAGCCACAAAGGAAGAACTTTCCAAGCAACTAGGCAACCATTGAAGATAAAAGACAAGAAGTCATCCCATCTGCATACTATAGCCCTCTGCAAAGAAAACCACCAAAATGACTTGGTAAATGGACAGTTAAATGTACTGTTTTGTGTGTTAAGATTTTTCCTGAGATTGCACAAGCCAGAAATGAAGCAAAATTGTAAACTTTATTTTCAATGTTTTGGTTTAGATGTTTCTTTGCTAGAGGAAGGTGCTAATCATGATGATGACACTAGATCTAGAGTTCATAAAAGTAGTCCTAGAATACCTAAAAAGTTTATGATGATGTAGTAATCTAGATATTTTGTGGACTTTAGAGAGAGTGAAAAAAAAACATTATAAATAAAAACAATGTGTGTGTGTGTGAGGAATGAATGAGTAATCAATGACCATTTCAGTTCTGTGTTAGACAGTGAAAGTTATCACATCTATTCATCAACTTGAACAATTAGCAACTTTATAAATTTTGTGTTTGTCAGTTAAGCATGAGTAACATTTGTATCACAGGTTCTGATGGAAGTGAAAACATTCTTTGTGAGTTTTGGCCTACAACAGTACATGCCTGTAGAAAACATTAAAGAAGAAATAAACTAATTTTTTATTGTTACATCATATGTATTTTGCATTATTTTAATCAGATATCCAAATTGATACATTACAACAATATGAAGACTTAGTTATAACAATAATTGATATAATAAAACTTATGAATGATGACTGATAGTGAAAACACTAATGGAATTATTCATGAAAATCCAAAATTGGCAAAAGCATATTTATTTAATATAAAAATTTAATTTCTGCCTCACACATAATGTTTAGCTCTAAAACTAAAAAGTAAATCCCAAATAAGGATTTAAAATGTTAATATTAGTACCAAACTTAGACTAGCAATAGTAGTTGCATTAGCAACAAAAACGTTATGTTAAAAATAAAAACACCTGCTGTTTCAAGTGTTTGTTTGTTCCCTATATTTGCGTAAAGTTATGAAACTTGTAAAGTCAGCACTACACCTCCCTAATTTTGAACTGTTAGTGTTAGATTAAAATTTAATCCAAAAGAAAAGCAACTACAACTAGTACTACTACTAGTCAACTCCATCAACTCGTGAGATTTTACCGACACGCTAAACACTGGCGCTTGTCCAACATCTGCTGTTAAAACTTAAACACAATTTGTTATTGTTACATACACGCTAGTGTCAGTAGCCAGTTTGCAACACAATATATTAAAATTAAATACTTATCATCAATTTTTAAGTAAACCAAACAGTGAAACTCGTTTTTTCATCGTTTGACTTTCAGTTTCAGTTTTATATCCATAAACCTATACAGTATATGACAAAAGGTTATCTAATTAAATAATAAATGTGAAATACTTACAAGACACACTGTAACTTGCAAGTCTGCTGATATGTTTTTATTCAAAATTCAAATGTTACTAATTTAACAATCTTATCTATGGAATTATAATTTATAAAGTGTAATAAACGTGCTACACTATACACGTTAACTACGGCAAAGATATGGCTTACCGTACTTCCTACGCTTTACTACAATAGGTACCTGTATTATTATTGATTAGTTGCAACGTATCTTAAACATTGGATGACGCCGTTTTGTGTCTTCCTTGCGCACATAATCAAATGTTAATTAAGAGTCTTGAAAGTGCAATAATACTAAATAATAAACATTAGTAATTAAAGCAAAATAATGAATACTTGCAAAACTGGTAGTTACATATCTTAGCTAGCCGTATTTCTCTAAAGTTTTGGCAGCGATATTTCTGCAGATTTATACGCTAGAATCCGGGTTTCGACACCCGTGGTGGACAGAGCGCAGGTAGCCCTTTTTGTAGCTTTGTGCTTAATAATAAACATCAATGTCTTAAGTATTGGACAAATTTAATGCTATTATTGGCATACATAATTCCAAAATAATTGCACTTTCTCAAAACATTATGAAGCTTTATGAAAAATAAATGGAGAGAGGGTTCTTTATGTAAAAATCTAAATTTATTTATCAACTTAAGCTTTAAGTTTAGAGTAGTTAGCAAAACGAATAAAATTAAATAATTGAATGATTACTGATCATAATTTCCCGCCCAAGGGAACACCAAATGTCGTGGCATAAAAATATCTAAATATTGTTACGTCTCCGTTCGCTAGTTAATTTTCCGTAACTTCGTTCCGACGAAACTTTAGCGACACAAGTCCTTTCTTAATAAAACTGGTTTATTATTTCTGAATATAACTTTACCGATACACTTATTTTCAACAGTCGCTCTATAATAAACGCTAGAACGTCTCACGTGCTCGTGCTCGACAATACTTAGTTCAATTACACGCTCTCCGACTGCAGTTCAATTACTCACTACACTGTTCTCGTCACGTTGTGACCATCTTATATATACCAGACTACCCCCAATCTAGTAATCTCCCGATAATTCACGAAAGTTCGAGAGAAGGAGTGGCGTGATACTAGTCACGTGACTTCGCTGAGGCAACACTGCCTTATAAACAACTAACTTATAAGTAAACTCTTATGCTACCTATTTCATACTCTATAA